ATGATCTCGCGGTTCGTGAGCTCAGTTCATGCGTTCGAGCCCCCAGAAGTCAGGCTCTGTGCTGTCAGTGCACAGCCCACCGCAGATCCTGTTTCATCCTCTCTCTGCCTCTCCCCACTTCTTGCTCTTTTTCAGAAACAAACAAAAAAGGTGTGGTCTTTGGAATTTCAGACCCCCCCACCCCAGACCCACTAAATCAGAATCTACATTTTAACAGATCTCTCAGAGAGTCTAATGCACAACGGAGACTGCACTGTTTTGAGATATAAATCCAGTCCCTGCTTCAAAAACCTCTAAAAGGTTCTCATTTCACTGGAAAAGCCAAAGCCCTTCCATGGCCCACCACTCCCCTGGTATACAGCTTCCTCAATTCCATCTCCTCTTGCTTTCCCTTGCTCTGTTCAGAGACCTCTGTGCTGTGCCTTAGGCATGCCAAGCGTTCAACCACTCCAGGGCTTTCCAGTATTGTGGATAGCCCCACCTCACACTTGCCAGTCCCTCTGCCCAGATCCCTGCCTGGCTGCCTTCCTCACCATCTATAGGCCTTTACTCCAGTCACTTCATCAGGGAGATTCCCTGACAACCCTTATCCACATGCCAAGCCCCAACCTCCTTCCTGCTCTTTTTTCCTACATAGTACTGATCATCATCTAATAGAGTGTATCTTTAACTTATTTAGTTTATTGTCTATCTTCCCTTTCTCAGAATGTAAACTGTATGAAGAAAAGTGGTTTTTTTATTATAGTAAAATTATACATAACATAAAATTTACAATATTAAGTGTATTAAGTACATTCACATTGTTGTGTAACCATCACCACCATCCACCTCCAGAAATTTCTCGTTTTCCCAAACTGACACTCTGTATCCATTAAACAACAATCCCCCGTCTCTCCTCTGCCCAGATCCTGACAACTACCATTCTACTTCCCGTCCCCATGAATTTGACCGTTCTAGGTACCTAGTATAAGTGGAATCCATTTTGTAACATAGGTCAGAATTTCCTTTGTCCTATTATTCAGCCCTAAAGATGAAGGAAATTCTGACCCATGCAACAAAATGGATGAGCCTTTGTTCCTGAGATGTGTGCTTCCTCCTTTTAGAAGTAGATTCCCAAGAGCCTTCAGTTCCAGAAGAGACCATTTTCCTCAGAAGTAAAACTCTGATGTAGAGTCTGCCTTCTTCATTAATCCATTGTCTTCATAGAGAGGTAAATTTCTTTGTACCTCCTTCATTCGTACTTCCTGCCTCACCAGATGGCTTAGCGTAAATGGAAACTGACCAAGATCGGCGTCCAGGGTAGACACTTCTGTTGAATTTTCTGTTTGTGAAGCTCTATTGCTGGCATGTGACCTTTAGGTATAGCAAGCTTGCCTCTGATCACATCCAACGTTACAGTCAGGGAGGTTGCATATGAAGCAACATGGCATCCATATCACCCTGACACCTTTCCCCGCTTACTAGTTGCCCTTGAGCCAGTTTGCATTAAGGACTCACTCTTTGTGGCACAGCAGTGTGTAGTTGATTCTGGTTGGCTGGTTTTTCTTCCACCTTTATCCATATCTTTGAAACCCTTGAACTTTCTGGAAAGTTTCTTGTGCTGCCTCATAGTTATCTTTCATGATCTCTTCTTCTTGTTCCCTATTGGAAAAAAGAGGAAAGGACGGTAGTAGGAGGGTGAGTGTAAATACCTTGCTTGGGCATTGGAGTGGGTAGTCCTGCATTCAGATCTTGGCTCCATCCACTGTTCCTTCGTGTGTGATATGACCCATGTCACTTAACTCTCCCAGGGCCTCTGGGGCCACATTAGCAAATAAAAACTTGGAAGTGGTTGATGTTGTAAGGATTAATAAGTATGTATATAAAGCACCCAGCACAAAGCAGGGACTTAGGAAATAGCAGCTGTCATAATTGGGATCATTTGTAGAATTTCCCAAATAGGAATCATTTTCCATCCCAGATTCTCTTTCCAGGGAGTCATATGTATCTGTCCTCTGAGAGCTCCATGGTCTGGTCCCTGGTTGACCTCATCACTGTCACTTTCCCAGCATCTATGACTCTGCCTCAGGCACACAGTAGGTGCAAAGTAAATTGCTGTTGGTTGATTGAAGAGAATCCTCTTAATCTTTATACTTAAGATTCTGTACATAAACTATTCTTCTCAGTGCTTTGTATATCTTACATTTTCTAATGCTTAGGAAAGACAAAACCGGGACACCTGGGTGGCTCAGTCATTAAGGGTCCAACTCAATCTCAGCTCAGGCCTTGATCTCAGGGTTGTGAGTTCAAGCGCCATACTGGGCTCTATGCTGCGCTTGAACCCTACTTAAAAGAAAGAGAGAGAGAAAGAGAGGAGGAGAAGGAAGGAAGGAAGGAAGGAAGGGAGGAAGGAAGGAAGGGAGGAAGGAAGGAAGGAAGGAAAAGAAAAGAAAGAAAGTCAAACCTAAGAGCATCTGTACAGAAGTCTAGAAGGAATGCAAAGGAGTGCACCCAGCCCTGGGAGGTTTGGGGGAGGAAAGTGTCTGTATTAAGAAGCAGCAGTTGGAGTCTGACCAGGAAGGTAAAGTTCAGGGCAACTCTCTGACAGAAATGACATCCCATCACTTCTGCTGTATTCCGTTTGTTAGAAGTCACTGGGTCTATCCCAGGCACAGGGAGAGGGGCTTACACAAAGGTGTAAATACCAGGAGGCAAGGATCATCTGAAGCCGTCTCGCCAGCCGCCCACAACACTCCCATTTTGCAAATCAAGAAACTGAAGCTCAGAGAGACTTAATACTTAGTAACTTCCTTTAGAGTCACCTAGTAATTTGTTGCTGTAGGGTTCCAACCCAGAGCAGCTTTTAATCACTGAGCACATAGTCACCTTAAATAATATATTGATTAGTAGTGATGCTTCCGAGCTCTCTTTTAGGCTTCACCATCACCCTGCAAATTTGGTTAATGTCACCCCCCATCAGCAACACTAGAGCAGAGTGAATGGGGAGATGTAACCATTTGCCCAAGGCCATGGAGTGGCTCAGCTATCCACTCCGAATGAAAGAGAGGGGGCTCCTGGGTGGCTCAGCCAGTTGAGCGTCCGACTTCGGCTCAGGTCATGATCTCACAGTCCGTAGGCTCCAGCCCCACGTTGGGCTCTGTGCTGACAGCTTAGAGCCTGGAGCCTGCTTCGGATTCTGTGTCTCCCTCTCTCTGCTCCTCCCCTGCTCACACTGTCTCTCTCTCTCTCAAAAATAAACATTAAAAAAAGAAGGAGGAGGAGAAGAAAGAAAGAACAGAGAACAGCGGAGAACGGCTTGGCCAGGCCTCCAGGGGGCAGGTGCTGTTGGCGGCCCACCTCTGCTGTGTTGCAGGACCAGGGTCATCAGGCCTCTTCTTGGCCTGTGTAAAAAGACCCTTCACCACCACTGGCCCTGCTCAGCACTGCTCCCAGGCCCACCGCTGGTGTCTTCATTTCACTTGCCCTAGATGGAAATCTGCAGGCGTCCGGCATTAGACAGGAGTCATGCTCTTGCCCTGTGGGCCAGAGCTTTGACCCAGGTTCTTCTCTCTGCCTAGAATGTGCCCCACCTCTTGTCCCTTTTCCCCTATAAACTCCTACCCCTGCTTCAGCTCCCACCTCAAATCTTACTTCCTACGGAGGCTGCGCCTGCTAGAAGACTGGGTCAAACCCCTCTGAAACATGCTGTCCTGAGCGCCTGGCGATTTCCTGTTTCATGTATCACGGTCATTAACTGTGAACCGTGGCATGGTGGAGGGTAAGCTCCGTGAAAGTAGAGCGTTTTGCTCACCATTACGTCTCCAGTGTGCCTAGCACAGAACCTGGCAAAGGGTAGGCGGTTAATGAGTGCTGCTGTTATTGAGTAATGTCCCCTGTGGGTCCCCCCCACCCATACCTCTGTCCTGAAGTTACCTTAACTTGGTGCCTCTTCTCATTCCTCCATGAAAATGCTAACCGGGAGAGAACTAAAAGGGCTCCCTGACTTCCCGAATAAACACTTCAAAGGGACTTCTGGAGACCTCTGGTTTTGAGTGTTCCCACCCTGGGTAATGACCTTAGGGATGGGACTTTCAGGCTCTGAAGGATGGATAGAACAACAGCAAGAGGAGGTATGAGATATATTTTACGTTCAGAGAGGCCTTGTTTCAAAACTTTTTAAATTACAGGACCTACTCTGGAAGTGTAGGTAAGAGTTTTAATAAAAGAGGAGCATTCGTTTCATTATTTTAAAATAATGTTTACAATGTAGAGTTTTATAAGAACATTGAAGAAATGCATGTGCCATATAATATAAATATATATGTATATACACTCATCATTTGATCTCATTTATGTAAAACTGTGCATTCCTAACAATAGCTTACCTTTTTTTAAATGTTTACTTATTTATGAGAGAGAGAACGAGAACGAGCAAGGGATGGGCAGAGTGAGAGGGAGACACAGAATCCAAAGCAGGATCCAGGCTCTGAACTGTCAGCACAGAGCCCAGTGCGGGGCTCGAACTCACGAACTATGAGACCATGCATGACCTGAGCCGAAGTCAGACACTTAACTAAGCCACCCAGGTGCCCCACGATAACTTACCTTTATTGAGTTACTTACTACCTGTCACAACAACTCTATAAAGTAGATACTATTATCTCCATTTTGCAGATGAGGAAGCTGACACACATGGCCGGGGGGATTAGGTAATTTTCTGAAGGTAACACAGCCAGTAAAGGACGGAGTTCAGCTTCAAAGCTACTCATTTAGGCTCTAGAGCCCATACTCTTAGCCACTATATTAGGCAGAGAGAAATCCATCAAAATGTTCATTGGCTTTGGATGGTAGTTTATTTTCTCTTCTATTCTCCAAGTTTTTCCATACAGATTTACTATAGAAGTTGAATGATAGGTTTTTATTAGGGTAGAGGTAGGGTAGTAAAATTTGAAGAACAAACGTTATGTTTTAGAACAAAAAAATTCACCCCATTTCCTCTTTCACTTTTCTAAATATTCCAGAAGAACTGATGACCACCCCAATCCTGCAGGCCACTGAAACCCTGTCCCCAGAAGCTGAGGCCAGCACGGCACTCATAGCAGGTAACAAAGTCCTAAACCAAATCCAAGAGACCTTTTGAATTCAAGGGCTATCTTGCTCCACAGACCAGACACCCAGTGTGGTGAGCTAGGGTATTTCCTGTGCAGGAAAACAGCACAGATTAGAGACCAAATCCAGGAATGGACTAGTTTTGGCATGTAGATTATTTTATGCACATACACACAAGGCTGTAAGAGACTGTTAGAGACTTCATGCCAGAGACACTGCCTGTAGATGTGGGAAGTGGCCACAAATAGCACGAAAGCACGTACGGGCGCTGCGCTCCAGTATGTGGGCAGAGATGAGGATGTGGTTTGTCAAGTGGGTGAGGAAGAGGATGGGAGGGATCAGAGCAATCCCTGCAGGAGGCTGTGGATTTAAAAATGCCTTCCTCTTGGGAGAAGCTATTTCCTGTTTCCCTCCTTCCTGTTTCTATCATAATCATCAGGAACTGGGTGAGAGGGAGTTGTTTTGTCAGAAATCAAAAGCCGTGTGTCCTTAGCTTAAGCACCAAGATACTCCAGGGGTCATGCACTATGGAAGTTGAACTTGTGGGGGAACATGGATCTGAGAGTGGACACTGGTTAACTCGAATGGGAGGGTCCTTGTAAATAGTGAGGGAGTCGTCAATTTCAGTGGGCCCCATGAATTACTGAGACCTCAATCCTGAAACACCTCTGCATTTTCCCTCTCCTTTCCAAGTTGTTATCACCGTGGTCTTCCTCACCCTGCTCTCAGTCGTGATCTTGATCTTCTTTTACCTGTACAAGAACAAAGGCAGCTACGTCACCTACGAACCTGCAGAAGGCGAGCCCGGTGCCATCCTCCAAATGGAGAGTGACTCAGCCAAGGGCAGGGAGAAGGAGGAATATTTCATCTAATGATTTCCGGGCCCCAGGGAGCTTACCCAGGCTCCAGGGCTCACACACTATTTAATTTATTAGGTGAAAGTTTTATCTGAAACCAGTGAGAAGCACTGATCGGTAGGGGCAAACCTGAGCTCCTTCTAGGACACAGGCCCAAATGAATGCCAGCATCACCGACACCAGGGACAAGGAGAAAACTGCTTACGACGTCTTTCGCCAGTCCTTTCTAATATAGTGGGTTTCCGTGGCTGCCCAGCAAGGTGGAGCTATACCAGACAACATGAGTCTGTGTCCAGTCATCTTCCAGTTTTTCAAGGTCAAAGGGAAGGAGAGTTAACAGTCGCTGGCTGCTCCTCTGTCCCCTACCTGGTCAACTAGTTGACAGCCTGAGCAGAGATCGTGTCGGTAACAAGCTCTTGCCAGGTGCTGGGTAACAGGCCAGACCAGCAGGGGCAGGAGACTATGGAAACCTCACCTCCTGATGAATTGTGCTACATCTCCTGAGCCTTTTTCCTTTCCATATTCCCCAACAACTTTACACTGATGGTATTTTTATCACAATTAAAAAGGTTCATTGATAATAGATTTCCGATTCTCCTGTGCCAGAAATAACTACCTTCATATTTTGACTTATCCAGGCTTAAATTTTTTTAATGTGTATTTATTTTTGAGAGAGATAGTGGGGAGGGCCAGAGAGAAAGGGAGACAGAGGATCCGTGCTGACAGCAAAGAGCCCTCTGCGGGGCTTGAACCCATGAACCGCGAGATCATGACCTGAGCCAAAATCTGACACTTAACTGAGCCACCCAGGTGCCCCCAGGCTTAAACGTTTTTTGACCTTTTCTTTTGCTTATTTAACTCCTTTGTATGTGCTCTCTCCCAAGCTAAGAACCCTAGGGAAGTTTCAGAAGTTCCAGAACCATCTCAGGAGTTTCAAACAAAAGTGGTCATGGGAAGCTTGTCCCAGAGAAGTGTCATTAGAAACATCCCTAGGATAATGGTTTGCCTTCCATCCTGGAAAGGGCCAGTTTCCCAGACACGTTCTATGTATACATAGAGAGAACCAATCTCCCTAACATTTTACCCACCAATGTCCTTTGAATCAGGCCCAGAGAAGCCTCTTGGATCTGTCCCAAAATTAGAGGTGTTTAAAAGATACAGTGTGGGGCGCCTGGGTGGCTCAGTCGGTTAGGCGTCCAACTTTGGCTCAGGTCATGCTCTCACAGTTCGTGGGCTCAAGCCCCGCATCAGGCTCTGTGCTGACAGCTAGCTCAGAGCCTAGAGCCTGTTTCAGATTCTGTATCTCCCTCTCTCTCTCTGACCCTCCCCTGCTCACGCTGCCTCTCTCTCTCTTAGAAATAAATAAAACAGGGGCGCCTGGGTGGCTTAGTCGGTTAAGCATCCGACTTTCGCTTAGGTCATGATCTCGCGGTTCGTGGGTTCGAGCCCCACGTCGGGCTCTGTGCTGCCAGCTCACAGCCTGGAGCCTATTTCAGAGTCTGTGTCTCCCTCTCTCTCTGACCCTCCCCTGCTCACGCTGTCTCTCTC